GTCAGATAGAAGGTGTGCCTGTTAGGAAGGCTCAGAAACAGGCTGTTTTATCCCTGCTTTCATTTACGTTTGCCTGTCGTCTCCTCCTCAGACGCTCTCTTGGGCTGATACATCAAGGCTGACGTATCAGTCTCATCTGCTTGCTTTTTATCCTTGTGCACAGTCACCGCGTCCTTTCCTTGATGAAATACTTCTCCTGTGACTGTATCCCACCATCTCATCTCTGCTGCTGCGCTGGATTTTGTAGCTGCAGCAGATACAGCTGTAGCCTAATCAGCTGCTATTAAATCTATTTGTCACGCCAAGCCTCGCCGTTTATCAATGACCTGTGTGTGTGTGTGTGTGCGTGTGTGCGCCACAGGTTTTCTCCGCTGCATCATGCTGCCCTTAATGGGAACCTGGAGCTCATCTCTCTGCTGCTGGAGTCACAGGCTGCTGTCGACATCAGAGACCAGAAAGGTAAAGAAACACACAGACATGATGATGTACTGCAGCTGAGCGTGCGATGCACATGTCCTGTGTTTACGCTCTGTGGGTGTGCAGGTATGCGGCCGCTGCACTACGCAGCCTGGCAGGGGAAGGCGGAGCCCATGAAGATGCTGCTGAAATCGGGTTCGTCTGTCAACGGCCAATCAGACGAAGGACAAATTCCTCTCCACTTGTCAGCGCAGCACGGCCACTATGATGTGGTGAGTATCATGTAGTTTTACCAAAAAAGCAAACGACAGGAGGAAGATGCTAATCTCAATATTATTTGCTTTAGCGTAACATATTGTGGCCATTAGTTATTCTGCACCAGTCAGCTGAGCATGGCCAGCATGATGTGGTGAGGGAGAGTTTTTTAAAAAGTACCAAAGACATCTGTCTGCACAAACTGACTGAGTGAAGAACAGAGGAGAGAAAAGTCACAGAGGTGAAATAAACGTCAGTTGTTTCGAGGAGCATGTCTACTGCTTTAAAGTGGCTGGAGTCACTCATGCTTTTTTATATATCGGCACAATTAGCAGCAAACTGCACTTTGAACATAAACAAACTACTAAATCTGGCTCTAAATGAAAGAAAGTCTGTTGTACTTAAGCAGGCTTAGCAGAGAAACAACAGTCAACTAACAAAATTTGCATTTCCTGCGAAAATGCTGTGTGGATGCCTTAACGCTGAAGATGTCTGCTGAAAAAAGCTGAAAAAGTTGAAAAGTTGCAAAAAGTTGTATGGCGGTGAAGAAACTGAAAATCCTGCTGAAAACAGGTGAAGAAGCAGAAATTTTGCTGAACAGTGGTGAAAAAAAAATTGCCACAAGCAGGATTCAAACCTGGCCCTTCTGGTTTCAAGGCGGCTATTCATCTCACTGAGCCAAAGTCATTCTCACAAAGAAGAGGTGGAGAGACTGACAATTCTGCTGAAATGAGCAGAATCGGGTGAGAATTGTGCTGATAAGAGGTGAAATGGCTGAAAACTTTGCAGAAAAGAGGTGAATAAGCAGAATTTGGGCTGAAAAGAGGTGAAAATTCTGAAAATTATGCTGAAAAGAGTTCAATCAGCAGAATTTTTCCACTGAAAAGAGGTTTTTGCTGAAAACAGCTGAAAAAGCTGGGATTTGTGCTGAAAAGTGGTGAAAAAACTGAAAATTCTGCTGAAAAGGGGTGAAAAGGCTAAAATTTGTGTTGAAAACAGTTAAAAAAGTTTAACTGTGAACTGAAAAAATTGTTGCCATAAGCGGGATTTGAACCCGGGCCTCCCAGTCTGAGAACGGCTGCTCATCTCACTGAGCTAAAACACAGCTCAGCCCGGCGAGCAGAAACAAGTGACCACATTGATAATATGTTTCATTCATTTCAATGAGCAAAAATATTGCAAAAAAATTTCAATATCTCAAAAAGTATAGAAGTTATGAGCACCAAAAGATATAGCCGGCATAAGCAGAAATAGCAGAATTTTTTAAGATTTGAACGGCAAAAATCGGATAAAAACTGTGGGATTAGTTCCACGGCGAAAAACATATGGAAGCGACGTTTTTCGCCTTTGAGGGAATCCACACAAATATAGCAGATCGACTGCAGCAGGTAACATGCAGTAGAAAAAAGAAGAGACGTGCATTTCCTGGCTGCACAGCTGAAGACGCGCTGCTGCTGCTACTACTTGATTAAATATCTGTGATTTATAGAGGGCAACAAACTGGACTGAAGCTTTAATCTGCAGCCGCTCTCCATGTGGAAGTTCAAATACAAAAAGTTACAGAAACAGAAACAGATGAAAAATGAATCATTTATAATCCAACAAAGCAAACAGAAAGGATTCAGGAGACATTGGCTTTAAAAACACAGACACTAGAGGCTTCAGCGCACAGTATCCTTCTCATTTGTTCATTTTAAGCTGCAAAGAAAGGAAACATAATGAACTTGTTGTGGTGCAGCCTCGCTCTCAGCATTTACTGAATTCTTCTTTTTTCTTAACAAACATGTCAGCTGTAAACATTTTTAGCCTCGAAGTCAAACTGACCTGCGTCACTTTAACAGACCGATGCAGCCTTCAGTGTGTTGAAACTTTTGCACATCTTATTGTTCTGCACACTTTATCCAGTCTAACGAGAGAGCAAAACATTTTATAGTATTTTTATGCAGCGTAATGTAGAACGGAGTCTCTAACATGTGAGGCGTCACATGTGCTGTGACTTCCATCGATGCTGTTTTATGTTTTTGTTCCATTATGAAATCCCGAGGGCGTTACGTAAATATGAGTTATTTACTGTATTACAAATTAAACAGCTGCAGGGCTGTTGTGCTGCAGGGACAGGGGCTGGCACTGTTTGTGCCCACTTGGCTCCTCAGATGGACGGGTCATTTACATCAGAGATCAAACATTTCCCTCCTGATGCGAGTGGCTGATACTGCCTGTCTCTACTGCTAACTTTTTTCTTTGGTGCAGCAGCACAAAGGTGCACCCAAATTTTTCAACCGCATCGCTTAATTGTTGCCCATACAGACAATATTGATTTGATTAACTAACAATCTTGTCAACACAAAGTTGAAGCACATTTCTACAAGAAACATAAGTTACTGTATTTTTCTCATGTTTACTGTGTGACTGATGAGTTTGAAATCCGCTTCATAAGCATGCCTCTTAACAGCTGCCATTTTGGGCTCCTGCACACACAATACAGTAATATTGTGTTGACACATATTTCTGTGTTTGGCTCCTGACTACAGTAGCCGTAATGCTCCAACAATCCATGAAGCCGTGCGGCTTCGTAGCTACCAAAGTCGCACTAAAACATTTTGACAGATGTTTGAGCGCCGTGCTCCACATGATATCAGTCCACTGACAATAAGCACAACCAGAAGTCATACATAAGGCGCACTTTTGAGAAAATGAAAGGACTTTAAGTGCGCCTTATAGTCTGACAAATACGGTTCTTGTGCTTAAAGTTTCACTGAGCTGAAACTTCAACTTAAAATATCTCAAGATATATAGAATAAGATGAAAGTCAAAATTAAAAGTGCCTCAAAGTGAACATCTTAATATCTGATCTCTGATTGGTTTAGACCACGATATGGGCCTGATGTGTGTCTGTTGTTGACCACACAGACGTTCAGAGACTTTTTACTTGAACAGCTGGTTGCACCGGTGCGACCTGGGATTTTTTTTAGTCGCACCGTTGAGAAACGTGGTCGCGCTCTCGAGCCCTGAATGTTTGTTGACTTTTTATTGAAGAAACTGCAGAGAAACAAGTTCAGGTCTCAACCCGACTGAGTGCGCCACAAACTTTATTTACAATCGCTGGTAAGACGTCGCCATCATCACAACACCAAAGTATGGTATTCATCCCTGCACATCATTTACAAAATCTTGGACAATGTGTGCTAAAGCAGGTTGAAGCTGTTCGGCGGTTCCTTGCTGAGACGCTGATCCTTCCTTTAATTTGCTTTGCAAACGATCTAGTTACCAAGCTGGCGAACGCACCACTCCTTACTCTTTTGCTCCTGTGGCGTGGATCGAGTAAACGCTCGATGCTACCTTCAGAGCTTTTCAAAATAAGAGTTTTGTTTTGTAGAGGATCATGGGAAATGGTGTTTGTCAGAAGCCGGTTAAAGTGTAACTTCTGAAAAAACCCTCAGTGTTAAAATTGTTTATTTAAAAAAAGAAAAGCCTACAAAGATCTGTGTAACAAGAGAAACAGCAGAGTATTGAAAAGCGCTCTGATTCTGTGTCTCCGTCTCTGCTTTGTGAGAGGCTGTTTTCTCACATTGTTATCCTCGAGCCCTTCTCTGCACCCTTTGAGCGTATGGATGTTTGTCTCATGTGTCTGTGTGCCCCGTCTCCAGTCTGAGATGCTGCTGCAGCACCAGTCCAACCCGTGCATCGTGGATAACGCAGGGAAGACGCCTCTGGACCTGGCCTGTGAGTTCGGCAGAGTTGGGGTAAGAACCTACGGTTTCAATCAGTATTCCTCAACAAGATTGCAACAACGTGTTGCTTATTTTCTCTTTGTTTATGTGTGTGTAAGGTGGTCCAGTTGTTGCTGTCTAGTAACATGTGCGCTGCTTTGCTGGAGCCCAAAAAAGGAGACACGACCGACCCTAATGGGACGTCTCCGCTGCATCTAGCTGCTAAGAATGGACACATAGACATCATCAGGTACACACACACACACACACACACACCACGTCTAATGATAAACTGGCTTTAAATGTCCTCCTCTGACTGCTGATCAAACAGATGTGTAACACAGCAGGGGAACCGTATAATCCAACACAGGCGAAGAATAATGGAGCAAATGCCGTCCAGTCTGCTGATGCATCAGTGCTAAATACACTGTAGAGATCTGCAGACAGCTGATGGCACTTTATCACGCTAAACATTCAGTCATTATAAGCTCATCTCAGCATGCATCTGTGTTTTATTTTTATTTTTTTTTGCAAACGTGCATCGCGGCAGAAAGACTCCCGTTGCCTTGGTGATGGCAGCGTTTAGCACAGAGCCTGAAAAGATCCCTGAACGATGCGCCGCGGCGGGTAAACACACACACGGCAGAGTACGTTATTTTCTCTGTTCGCCCTCAAATACTTTTCAAGTAACTCAGAGCTGCTGTGTGTGTGTTGGTGCAGACGCCGGCTTGGCTGGCGGCGACACACAAAGGGAGGCGGTGAAAGATGAGAAATGAGAGAGAGACCTGCAACTGAGGGAAGATAGGAGAGAGAGAGGGGTAGTAAAAGACGAGGTAGAGAGACAAGGAGCTCAAAACAGAGCGAGAGAGTAAAGATTGTCATAGCTGATGGAGCACAGTGTGGCTGAAGTGACACTGATAAATGATGCTCATTAGTCATGGCCAGCCATGTGGAAGACAACACGCACACATACGCAAAGCAAGAGGAAAATGAAACGCGCTTTTGGCAGCTTTTTAATTTTCTTTCTGTCGTTTATTTATTAATTTTTTAATGAACTTTTCTCTGATCCTGTCATTTTATGGGTCAAACTGGTGATTTTCTGTCCTCATTGTCAACAAATCCAATTAAAAAGACCAACATTATCAGTGACTGATGCTACAAACAGATTTTTCAATTATCTGCGGCTAAGCTAGAAGCTAACATCATAGTCCTGATATCATCACACTTACCATGCTGATGTGTAGTAGCTATGTGTCAACATGCCATCTTCTGGCCAAACAGATCTGAGATCCTCAGTCTTTGCTACTTAAGTTCAGTTTCCCTGTGAGGAAGCACTTGGCGATGGTGGGGATGAAGAACTCCCACCACAGGAAGAATCCTACAGTAGAAGGAGGGTCAGGGAGGGGCAGCCGTCTGCTGCTGCAGTCACCATTATAATTAATAAAGACATCAGAGTGTGGACGCGTGTTTCCACCACTGTAAAAAAGATGCCATCCATATAACAAGATTTCAAGTTATTTTCTTGAAAATTCGTCTTTAGAGTTACAGTTGCAAATCAGGAAGCTCGATGAATGACATCATTTCCTATTTACCTTAATAGGTAAATAGGAAGCTGAAATAGGAAGCCAGAACTGAGCTGACCTGAGCTCCCATAGACCGAGATAGCACATCGTGCAGCGCACAGCTGATTCCTCAAGACTATCAGAGCTCTCTGATATTCAACATCTTCATATTTTATATGTTGTATGTAAAAAGTAACCAGTGTATCAAACAGAACGACCTGAATATCTCCTGCTTAAATTGTGATTCAGCAAAATAACTCCAGCGTAAATAGAATTATATTTGGCTCCTTATGTAAACATTTTGATTAAAAGTATATATTTTCTCTATTTTTAATGTTCCTTTGTGCACATGCTCCCACCTTTGAGTCCCCTTGTTCCCGCATGTTTTAACACCTCTCCTGATTTTCTCACCTCTCTCTTTTGATCTTTCTCACTTCACCTTTCCTCTGTCGTCTTTTATTTTACTTTTGAACTTGCCTGTTTTATCCTCTCTCGCTCTCTGTTCTGCCTGGTGCCTCTCCCGGCAGGCTGCTGATCCAGGCTGGCATCGACATAAACAGGCAGACCAAAGCAGGCACTGCCCTGCATGAAGCTGCCCTCTGTGGAAAGACTGAAGCAGTGAGACTCCTGCTGGAGGTGAGTGGAACTACAGCTGCACAGAGTTTGGTTTCTGTCTCAGCGCACATGCAGAGGTGCAGAAGGTTGCAGCAGGATTGCACTACTGCACATAACTAACCTGGAATCCAGATCATCTAAAGATTTACAATCATGTCACCTTTGACCTCTGACCTTTCCTCCATGATCAATAGATTAAGCTGAAGGTCAAAGTGATAATAATGCTGTATAAAGCTATTCAAACTGATGTTTCTGATTTGTTTTGGAAAACACAGGATATTTATTAGTAAACATTTAACATAATTTTATTAAATACTCACATGAATCCTGAGTGTGTCCTATATTCACCTAAATATAAATCAGAAATAATTATGTCAGCAGGGCAAATAACGAAGCGACCGCCTGTATGGTTGATTTGAACACGCCACGAAGTTTCATGCTTAAGTGACCGTGTGTGTTTCGGCACAATAAACTAACCGTGTCATTGAGCTCCCGAGTGTGAAAAGGTTACCAGCCTTCACCCTGAAGCGTCTTTGGACTGAATTCATCTTTGTTCCCTCGGCCTACATTTGTGTCGACAGATTTAAACGTGATATTGCTCTCTGGCTTTCAGCTGCCTCGGCAGCAAAATAAGATGCGGGTGTAATTAGCAGAAGAGGCCCAGGGAGGGTTATGCTATCCTGACGTCAATTATGGTAAATCATCCCTACGGCGTTTAATCAGCATCTAGATGTTCTCATTTCTGAGTTTAACTGGACACAGTGTGTTTGTGGGATCTTTTTGCTGTATGAAGACGGCTGTAACAGGGCTGTTAATGTAATAACCAGAATTGTAAATTGTCCCCTGCAGAGTGGTATCAATGCCACTGTGAGAAACACGTACAGCCAGACTGCGCTGGACATCGTCTACCAGTTCACTGCAACACAAGCCAGCAAAGAGATCAAACAGCTGCTGAGGGGTAGGATGGATGTTTGTATGTATAACAAAAGAGAGGAATAGATGGTCGAATGAAAAGCACAGTGGACAGACATAGTTTAATTTGAAATGTACAAATGATGCTGCCAGCAAGAGGGAATCAATCAGCTATGACATTTAACAAAGTGATTGTGCTAAGCCAGGGGGTGGGGAACTCCAGTCCCCGAGGGCCGGTGTCCTGCAGGCTTTAGATCTCACCCTGGGTCAACACACCTGAATCACATGATTAGTTCATTACCAGGCCTCTGGAGAACTTCAGGACATGTTGAGGAGCTAATTTAGCATTTAAATCAGCTGTGTTGGTTCAAGGACATCTAAAACCTGCAGGGACACCGGCCCTCGAGGCCTGGAGTTGCCCACCCCTGTGCTAAGCTAACCAGCTGCTAGCAGTACAGACTGCATCCATCTCAAACAAGCAGCCAGTTTACCCGTTATTATAATTATAGAATTAATATATTTACAAATGTATACTTCATATATTCAATTATTATAAATGTATTTACAGTTTACTTTTCTATCAAGTTTCTTTTGGTCGTGCTTTTTAAAGGTAAAAATATCCTGTGATAAATTAATAATGACGTCATCCTGAGAATGTAAAGTTCTTTATTGACACATTTTTACATCAGTAGGATTGTTTTGCACCGTTCATCATTGTTGTGTTGTAACTTCACAATGCTAATTTACTTTCTTTGCCTCTCAGATGCGTCTGCAGCCCTTCAGGTTCGAGCTCTGAAGGATTACTGCAACAACTATGACCTGACCAGCCTCAACATCAAAGCAGGAGACGTCATCACGGTAAAGCAGCTGTTCCTGTCAGAAGCAAGAGGATTTAGTGCGATGGTGTATTGTGTTCATTGGAGGCTCATGAATTTTTAAAAAAGCTGTAAATTTGTCTTCCATAATAATATGATTGAAACGAGCTGCTGATCATTTTTAACTGTTTTGTATAAGCTACTAATTCTGGAAGTTCAAATAGGTGGATACATCTCCACTGAAGCTTGAAAAGTGCACTAATATTGTTCTTTAAAAAGCATAAATTCTTCACCGGCCTCTTAGATTAGCTTCAGTGGCAGTTATAATATTGTTAATTGTAGTTAACCCTTGAAAGCCAAGCGTATGGTGTTCGTTACATGTTTTTGAGACGTCTACATCATCAGCATGACTATTTTTACCCTCAAAAAATGATATAAACTGCATGACAAATTTTTCAAGACTAAATTGCAAAAATATGGCTCATATATGCAGATTAAAATTTGATAATAAATGACATAAAGGGTCAACAAACACACAAAAAATGTCATATTTCTGGCAGTGATTTCATCGTTCAGGTTTCAAACGAAGAATAAAAAAACCTTGAAAATATTAAAATAAGTTTTTTCACTGCCAGAAAAAACAGAAAGTGCCATTTTGTATGAAATGATTTACCAAACATTTGAAAAAAATGGTGACACTGCGTAATCCCTGCAGACTCCTTGTCCACAAGTCCTCCCTCCAATCCACTGATTAGCCTGACAGATAGGACACTTTTCCATCGTTGCAGTTTTCTGGAATCAGAAATGCAAAGACGATGGTTTCATCCTTTATTTGCCGTGAGCGTGTTTTACAGAAGCATGTTTTCACTCCCTTCATCGCAGTGATGAATATTTATGAGCATGTTTGAAGCCTTTGGGGACTTATTACAGTAGCGAGGAAGCCAAGTAGTGCCAACGCTTTTTTCCTCAGGGTCTGAATGAACAAGTTGACTTTGGGGATTTAGCACCAAATGTGCAGCTTTGAGTTTTTTAAAAGAACAGAATTATAAAGTATTCACGTTGGAAAGCTTTAAATTAAATTCTGTGGTATTAATCATTTATTAATTTATGTATTGTCCACATTTAATGTAGTGGATGTGCTCGCCTCGCAGGTTTTGGAGCAGCACCCCGACGGACGCTGGAAAGGCTGTATCCATGACAACCGGACAGGAAATGACCGCGTGGGCTACTTTCCATCCACCATGGTGGAGGTCATCAGCAAACGCACAGGTGAGTTTGCGCGTATATGTGCGCGCATGTAAGGTTGTGTTGGAGCTGCTTTTGAAATTTTGGCTGCTAAAAAGCTTCTGCACATGAGCCACATGTGCACATGTGGAGCGAACGCAGGAGGTACTCGGAGGCAAACATCTGTAAAACCCGTACATTAAAGGTAAATTCGATAAAAACCCTCAGCCAGCTTTTTTTGAATAGAGCAAATTAAAATAGAGACACATCAGAGACTTTCATCGCTTTCATCTCATACACTGGAGAGGAGCTGTCTGTGAGTCAGCCAGCATCAAAGTGGTACCATACAGCCACCTGTCATCTCCGCATTGCTCAAGTTAAGGTCCAAGCCTGGTGGAATTTTTGATAGCACTGCATCAACCTGGGGAGAAAATTATAACAAAAAACCCCCAAACACAAAACATTCAGGTGGTCGACCCAAGGTTATATATCCCACAATTACCAACATCTTTCTTATGCCACCACAGACAGTGTATACACTGGCAGTGAAACCGGTTGCTCATTGGTTAACGAATTGTCGATCACATGATGTTTGCCAATGAGCTTAACGCAGATAATCCTCTATTTTTAAACACAGTACCGAATCGTTCCAGCCCAAAAGCTACGTCCATGTTTTACATGTCTGTGGTTGCAGCTTACCCTCACCTCTTAATTGTTGACAGGAAAATATAAATAAAACCAAAGCTAAACATTTCTGTACATAAAAAGACTAATTTGACATTCCAAGATAAAAATGTCTGCCTTTACACGGGAAACGATAATAATAAGCTGCTGCTCCTAGCATTCAGATAGCTTAGCTTAGCTTAGCACAAGACAAGTGGCTTAATGGAGCTCAGAAATGTGTGCTTATGTATTTTATATAAGTAGTTACCCTGTTGTTTCTCACCAAATGCTATAAAAGTAGCATTTGGTGAGAAAACTGACAACATGTCGTATTTGTATGCCGATTAGCTTAACATTAGCAAGACTGAAAACAGCTAGCCTGGCTTTGATCAGAGGTAAGAAAATCTCCCTAATAGCACCTTTAAAGCTTAACATTTAGCACGTTAGATCTGATTTTATAAAAAAGTATAAACATGTTTTAGTTTAAACCTTTTTTCAGGGTTTAAGATGAACCTACTGGCTGTTGTCTTCTAACCCTCTGCATGAATAGACATTCCCCCAAAGTATCAAACTTTTATTTGTTTAGCATGTAAACTTTCATTGCTTGGTGCGCCCCTCCATCTTAATCAGCTTTTATTCACCTGGATGAAACGTACACAGCATATTCAGACCCATCATGTCGTCTCGGTGTGACTGAGCAGCCACAGAGAGGCTCAGATGTTTGTAATTGTTTGTCGTGTTGGTCCCTATAGGTCTGTTTATCAGTATATGTCTTCTTGTCTTAGTCTGTATGAGTGTCTCTCTAATTGTTGCTCACCACTGACAGCCATTACCTGTTGTCTGTTCATGCTCATCACGTCCTCCTCTGATTACCTTTGCACACTGCATTACCACCTCGGCACTATCGTGGCATCACCCATCCTTTCATACACGAAATCATGCAGCAGCTGTACGCCGCCTTATACTGTATACGGCAGCTGTATGCAGTGCAGAAACAGCTGGAGCGCTCCCACTTGGCTTGCAGAGCCAGACTGACTAATCACTGCTACCGCTCATCCGCGCATACACAGATACACACTGTGCAGCATCAGCAGCAGCTGTTCTAACAGGAAGTTTCATTTACTCAGCTGTTTTTCATCAATTTTTAATTATTCCTTTCTCTCAGTCAGTCCCCTCTCCACGTTATATTGCTCTCATCTGCTCTTTTATTCCCGCTAACAGGGACGCAGCAGCAAAACTTTGCAGAGACAACCGTTCATAATTTGTCCTAAATGTTGTAATAAGGCTTGTGCATTTAAGCGTTTAGTTTCAGTGTAGAGTGACCAATCACAGAAACAGAACAAACTTTAGCAGCTAGCTTGTGAAAGAATGTATAGGCAATTATCTAGTTATAAATATTATTTTTGCAGATTTGTTAAGTCAGCGTTGTTGTGCTAGTGTTGTGCTGCTACTACTACTAGCAATACATTATATAGAATTATAGACTTCAGTAAAATGTGGAAGGCATCAAAACTACGAATGAACACATTTGGAATTAAACACAAAAGTGTAAAACGTGCTTTATATTTTAGATTCTTCAAAGTAGCCACTCTTTGCTTTGATTACTGCTTTCAATTCAATTCAATTTTCAATTCAATTTTATTTATATAGCGCCAAATCATAACAAATGTCGCCTCAAGGCGCTTGCTTTGCACACTCTTGGCCTTCTCTCCATGAGCTTCACGAAGTCGTGACCTGAAATGGTTTTGCAACATTCTTGAAGGAGTTCCCAGAGATGCTGAGCACTCGATGGCTCTTTTGCCTTCACTCTGAGGTCCATCTCATTCCAAACCATCTCCACTGGGCTAAGGTCAGGTGACTGTGGAGGCCAGGTCATCTAGCTAGCACTCCATTACTCTCCTTTTTGGTCAAACAGCACTTACACAACCTGGAGGTGTGTTTGGGGTCATTGTCCTGTTGAAAAATAAACGATGGTCCAACTAAACGCAAACCGGATGGAATGGTACACCACACCTCCATCCTCCGTTCAGCTTTTCTGCATCGCACAAAGACACGGCAAGTGGAACCAAAGATCTCTAATTTGGACTCATCAGACCAAAGCACAGATGGTCTAATGTCCATTACTTGTGTTTCTTGTGCCCAAACAAATCTCTTCTTCTTGTTGCTTTTCCTTAGTCGTGGTTTCTTAGCAGCTGTTTGACCATAAAGGCCTGATTCATGCTCCTCTGAACATGTAGAGATGCGTCTGCTACTGGAGCTCTGTGTGGCATTTATCTGGGCTCTAATCTGAGGCGCTGTTAACTTGCGATATCTGCGGCTGGTGGCTTGGATGAGTTTATCCTCAGCAGCAGAGGCGACTCTTGGTCTTCCTTTCGTGTCCTCATGTGAACCAGTTTCATTGTAGCGCTTGATGGTTTTTGCTGCTGCACTCGGGGACACGTTCAAAGTTTGAGCAATGTTATGGACTGACTGACCTTCAGTTCTTAAAGTAATGATGGACTGTTACTTAGCTGATTGGTTCTTGCCATAATATGAATTCTAACAGTTGTCAAATAGGGCTGTCAGCTGCGTCCCAACCTGACCTCTGTGCAACACAACTGATGGTCCCAGCCTCATTAAGAAGGCAAGAAACTCCACAAATAAACTCTGACAAGGCACACCTGTGAAGTGAAAACCATTTCAGGTGACTACACCATAACGGTCAGTGACAGAAGGCCAAGGGTTTGCAGCGCTGTCAACAAAGCAAAGGGTGGCTACTTATCCAGCTAGGAGTCATCAATGCTACATTTTATTGTTTGGTTACAACTGGCTAATGACTTGCAACAAAGTAGCAAATTTAAAGTGAAAAAATTACACAAAATACTAACACAACAAAAGTGAAATAAATTAAGTATGCACCTGCAAGGAATAAAATATATTGAATGGCCAATTATGTTGTTAGCTCGCACACTAGAAAGAGACAGTCCTAACATCGCATCAGGGTAGCATGCTATCTTCTAGCATGCATCAGGTTAGCATGCTATCTTCTAGCATGCATCAGGTTAGCATG